TCTCTTGGATGCTAATCCTGAAATGGATTTTGATACGATGATGAATGCCACACCCACACCCCACACCCACACCCCACACCCACCCACATCCACACACCCCACTCCCACACCCACCCACACTCACACCCACACCCACACCCGTTTTTCATAGATCTCTTGGATGCTAATCCTGAAATGGATTTTGATACGATGATGAATGAGATAAGACCAATGGTGAATGATCAAAATGCTTATCCATTTAATGAATGTATTCATCAAAATCTAATGCTTATTAGAAGAACTCGTACGGATAAATCGACTATGTCAAAAGTACTTGGCGATCCGACTTATGTACCTGAATTGGCAACACTCTTTTCTGAAACACGACGAATTAGCCTGACTCGAGTTGCTGCTATACATATCAAGGTCGAGCTTGTTATTTCAATATTATTGATTCACCCGGTTTATATGATAATACAATAAACAAAGGTGAACGACTAACAAATGAAAATATTCGAAAACATATTAATGATTGTATTACAAAAGATGTAACCGATATTCATGCATTTGCATTAGTTTTTAGTAGTATTGGTGGTATTAATAATGAAGATATTCAATCAATGATATTTATTAAAAGAAAATATCCACAATTGAAAAATTTCTTTCTTCTTCTCATTACTCATTGTGAAGAGAAAGATGTTGATGAACGAAATACGTTTGTTAATGAATTTTTTCGGCATAGAGATATAGTTAGACATAATTTGAAAGATTTCTTTGGACTCGGTATCTATTTTATGGGTTGTCTTCGACCTAATTTACGACGTCATCCAAATCTAGACGCAGCCCGTCTTCAAAGCCGGAATGTAATGAAAATGCGTCCGAAATTACTTGATTTTCTTATTTTCCACGAGCAGTCATTCAATATTCATTATTCAACATCACCCTCATATGCATCTGTATCTCGAGCATTACCTTATTGTTCATATTCCTTTCGGATTATTTTTAACATTGTTATAATTCTACTTTTGGGCATTGCCATTGGAATAGTCGTCTGCGTTTGTTTACAACCTTCTTGGTAAGAAGTTTTTTCCGACAATTCAAAATTTGTTTACTTCTTTTTGATATAGTTAGATCAAGTTGTGAGGAAAACGTCGAAGTATCCGAAAACTTTCGAGATCTCTTACCGTATGAATTTATTCATTTTACTCACTACATAATAGAGACATATCAATAAGCTTGTTTCTTAAGATTTTCGTTAATATGACTTCATTTTCAAGCGAATTGCTCATCATATTTAATATTATTTGATCGAAATTATTTTAGAATTTGATAGGGGCTTTATCTATTGCCACTGAAAAGAAGTTTAAAAAAGCATTGTACTCAAATTTTGAATTTCTGACACCTTAATTATATCTTTTGTTTCGATTATTTGAGAAGTAACATTCATTAAATGCTGATTCACTGGTTTCCAGACTGAAAGATTTCTAGGCGATTTCTGTAGGATTGACATATCAAAAGTGACAATTAAAAGGTCCCACTATGTCCATTCTTTTTTTAAATCCTTTTGCGCAGTCAACAAATAATGTTTCAAAAGAAACTATTCGGAACTGTTCGGTTTTTCTTTGGTTCTCTATAACTTGCAAAAATTAGCAATTATCATATTTTACAACGTTTGCACCATGACAAAACTGACAACTAAATTAGAAAAAAGAACAAAGAATCGAAATTAAAAACCTAAAACACTGATTCAAAGTGATTGAAATCAATGTATTCAACTATTCAGCTTAGAGAAAATTCTCCAAATGAAAATAAAGTTTTTCTCTCATTTATAACAATTGCTCATGATGGACGTTTTTTTTTCATGATTGATAAACACATTCTCGTATTTTTTTTAGCGATCCAATGTTGTCCGACAAGAGTTTCAAACAAGAATGGTCCATTCAAGAAAACTGAATTCTGTTGAATGACAAATTTACATTAAAAATACTCGTAGAGATGGAAATTCGACCAAGATAATTGAATAAATGTAATTTTAAAAGTTACAAATACATGCTGTTCCCAATAATTCAAAGAGAATGAATAGTGTTGCATAGTACATGACAAATTATATCGATAGCTCGATTTGATGTGACGCAGAAATAGCAATCAGTGAAGTTTATTCAGATAATCTTTACTTAAAAAACATAGAATATGATGTATCTTGAATCTTCTCTTCGAATTTCTGAACATGTCTGTACTCTTCATTGTCTTAACTCTTGCTTTCAAGCTAGGGTGTGGATGTGAGTGTGGGGTGGGTGTGGATGTGAGGGTGTGGGTGTGGGGTGTGGATGTGGATGTGACTATGATTCTTTCCATAGCCCACGCCGACACCCACCCACAGCCACACCCACCCACACCCACACCCACATCCCACACCGACACCCACCCACACCCACACCCTCATTAAAAAGTGTCAACTTACATTTCCCACAACATAGAATGAGTTCTTTAACTACACAAGAATAGTGTATCACATGTCGTGGGGACCATTAGATTTCTTCATCTTCCTTTGTTCTTTTTTGTGTTTTTATTCGCATATTTCAGCTATTTTTAAAAATATTATATACGCATAACCAGAAAGTAGAAAGGCTGTTGCATTTTTATGAACTAATTCACTTAGACCAAGCAATAACGTTTAAGCTCAGAGATATACAAGAGAAAAACGATGCTTTCCTTTTTCTATAGTGTGGTGCGGGATAAGTAGGTTTCGTATCTTTTTTGTTTCTATTTCTATTAGCATTAACTAGTACATGATCATATATTTATATATAGCTTTATCTTTAAAATATAATTGACATAATAAAATAAAATGAAGACTGTTTCGTCTGTAAAAAGTTGGATGCGATTCAATTACAAATCATTTTCAAGTTTCTTTGTCACCTTTCTTAAAGAAAAAATGCAACGTTCCTTTTATTGTCTCGTCTTCAGTTTTCCTGTTTGTTTATTTATCAATTTTCAAATTCTTTTCATCACCACATATATACATATGTTCGTCTGAATAAGCAAACAATTCATAGAAATACTTTTTAATATATTCGATCTCAAAGTTCTCTGTACTTCGGTGAACAATAATAAGCTTCTTGTTGCTATTTACATCAACATTGTAATCATTTTGAAAGGTAGAAATTAGTAATGCATATAACGAAACTAGCACAGCATGTACAAAATGCGTAAAAATGTTTTTTCAGGAAGGTAACGATATGATTTTCAACAGCACTACTAACAAAAGAGTTTTGTCAATTTTGTTATAGCAAACATAACAAATCAGTAGAAAAAGGATGCATAAAAATAGTTTTTCACTAGAGTAACGCTGCGATTTTCAATAGTATCAATAACAAATTTAATACTAAATGAAAGCGCGTCAAAAATGGGATTTGTCGGTATTAAATGGTAATAGTTTTGCCAATTTTTCTATATCAAACATAGTAAATCTCTAGAAATTTCCGCAGCATAATTGTGATAACCTACCGACAATGAGTCATTAGACATGATAGATGTTTTTTTTCACAAAAATTAATAGAAGCATCATTGTGATAATTATTCAGCATGATTCAGTTCACGAGAAAATATTGTTCTTTTTTGTTCTGTTGTCTTTTTATCTTCTTCTTTTGAATATGAATGACGGTATGTCGCCAGAATAATAGAAACGATGGAGCAGCTTTCCTTTTTATTTTCTATAGGTCGCTTTGTTGTTCTGCTAGCACGTTTCGTTTCACTTATCGAATGGTATTTTTCTCACTTCTGTTCCATATTAGGATAAAAAGTTTAAGCACGTGTAGAACACTATAAGGTCGTTTTGTACTTTACCAATTTCACAAACAAAAACAATTGATTCGATTGGTTAATCAATTTAATTTTAATTAGCTGAAAATGGCTGGTACTTAAGACATAAAACGGCAAAAAATCTTCGACAGAATCAAATTTATTGCTTTTCGTGAAGCTCGAGATGCCGATGCAACATTTATTAACCGACAGTGGATTGCAGAGAAAATTCATCGTACTATGCGATTTGTCACAGAGTGGTGCGAAGAGTCATATGATAATTGTTTTGCCGATTATTCCGAATGCGGTCGTAAGCTTAAATTATCAGATGCAAGTCGAAACCTGATTCTCAGTGCAGGTAGCAAGCAAAAAAGACGTTCTTATGTTGTGATGAAAGAAATTGCAGAAAAACACAAGAAATATGTTGTTCCAAAAACAATTGACAATTATAGTGACGGAGAAGGATTAAAGCCATTTCATGTTATTCCAAGACCTTTAAAAACAGAAACTCATATTTCAGATAGGTTGTGGTTTTGTGATTGGTTAAAAGATTGAATTCAAGAGGACTTTCTTCATCTCGCACCATCGAATGAATTTTATGTTTGGACTGTTCGCAGACCAAATTATCAGAATGATCGAGTTTGGGCAAAAAGTACTTGAAGATGATGAAATATATCGCGAAATGGTTAAAAACCAAGCGTGCAATTGGCATTTTTATCATTTTCATTACGAAAAAGTTACATTGGGTAATTAAAGATAAAGGTGAATCTTGGACCAGTCAATTTTTCCGTGACATCATTTTAATGCAACACGTATTTCTGTTTCTCAAAGACGAAGAAAATATAATCGATCCACATCATGTGATATTTGTTCATGACAAAGTGCCATGTATGCGAGCAAATACGACTCAGCATTTGCTTCAAGATAGCTATATCAGTTTTGGAGGAAATGACACCTGGTCTGATAATTCACCTAATCTGAATGTAGCTGAACATATTTGAACAATAATTAAAAATGAAGTTGAGCAAAAAATGTTATCAGAAACGGAACATAATCGTTATGAAGAAGAAACATTAAAACACCACCTTTCATAGTTCTGACAAAGATGGAAACAAACACCGAGTTGTTTGAAACTCTCTTATGTTCCTATCCGTCATGTCTTCGTGTATTAAAAAAATGCTAATGGACGTCATTCTGATTATTGATTCTATTCATCGAATCTGAAAAATAAATCTGCTTGATGTCATCCATAAGTTTGAATTAGATTTAGTTCGACCTGCCTCATGAAAGAAATTTTTTCATACTAAAATAGCGAAAATGTCTAGAGATTTACTATGTTTGATATAGAAAAATTGACAAAACTCTTATGATTTAATATTAATAAACCCCATTTTTGAACCACTTTCATTTGGTATAAAAATTTGTTAGTTGTGCTGGTGAAAATCATATCGTTACCCTCGTGGAAAAACATTTTTACGCACCCTGTAGTGCAATTCGTCAATAATGCAACGTTTTCAGATCACATCTTTACTATATATTTTTAAGATGGAGTTCTATCTAGTACAAATTTCAACTACTTGTAATATCATGGAAAAAAAGCATACTATTACAACTGGTCATAAAGTAGAAGATGCATGGTTCAAGTCCTACAAATAGCGCATATATGGCGCAGTTTATTTGTCATTGCAATCCGCTACCTAGTCCCACTCGTTTTTGATATTTACAAGTAATAAGAAAGACAATCAAACCGCAATAGAGAATGATAACTGAGTGTATTAAGACGAAAAAGAGATCTTTTAACATGACATAGTTCATAGCTACTTCATATATTGCATGAATAATCTATCGATACACTTGTAAATAAATGTTAGTTGAATGTTTATGAGCACTCGTTTAGGAAAATATATAATAGGTTAGAAAGTTTGTTCAGCACAACAATATCGATTTTTCCATCTTTATTGAAATCATAGGCTACTGCAGGACCTGGACTACTACTTGTTCCATACCGTTTTCGAATCGGAAATGTCATATTTCCATCACCAAACAGTACATCCATATGATTCGAAAGTCGACCGAGCACTGCTAAATCCATTTTATTGTCATTATTAAAATCGCCTGACATTACATGATTTGGTTCCCTATCAACTTCGTATTTTATTTGAGCTTGAAAATCTCCATTTCCCCAGCCAAATAAAATACTAATCGTATGGTCCCCTAGATTGGTCACTACGAGATCCATGATCTGGTCACGATTTAAATCAACTGATATCACAAAAGT